CTCTCTCACACGCACTCTCACACGCACACACGCTCACTCTCTCACGCACACTCACGCACGCTCACACTCTCTCGCACGCACGCGCTCACTCTCTCACACGCACACTCACACACTCACACTCACTCACTCACACACTCACACTCACTCACTCACACACTCTCACACTCACACACACACGCTCTCTCTCTCACACACTCTCACTCACACACTCTCACTCTCTCTCTCTCTCTCTCTCACACACTCACACTCACTCTCTCTCTCACACACACACACTCTCTCTCTCTCTCTCTCTCTCTCTCTCTCTCTCTCTCTCTCTCTCTCTCTCTCTCTCTCTCTCTCTCTCTCTCTCTCTCTCTCTCTCTCTCTCTCTCTCTCTCTCTCTCTCTCTCTCTCTCTCTCTCTCTCTCTCTCTCTCTCTCTCTCTCTCTCTCTCTCTCTCTCTCTCTCTCTCTCTCTCTCTCTCTCTCTCTCTCTCTCTCTCTCTCTCTCTCTCTCTCTCTCTCTCTCTCTCACACACACACACACTCTCACACTCTCACTCACACTCTCACACTCACACACACACTCTCACTCACACTCTCACACTCACACTCACACACACACTCTCACTCACACACTCTCACTCTCTCTCTCTCTCACACACACACACACTCTCTCACTCACACGCACTCTCTCACTCACACTCTCACACACACGCACACTCTCTCACACACACGCACTCTCTCACTCACACTCTCACACACTCACTCACACTCACACACTCTCTCACTCACACTCTCACACACTCACTCACACTCTCACACACTCACTCACACTCACACTCACACACACACTAATAAACCCACACACACACACACACACACACACAGCAGCAGTCTCGCGGCTGAAATGATAGACTGTGACGTCGATGTGGAACAATAAAAGTCAAACACAAACTCACCCGCCACACACAGTACACACAGCTCGGCTCCGCCTGCGCTGGAGGACAGGGATGAGAGCAGCACAAAGGCCCGTCTCTAGTGTTGATGCCAGTCGAGAGTGCGTGAGTGTGTGAGTGTGTGTTCAACACAGACGGCGAAAGAAGCTCACGCCGCACGTCACCAGCAGCAGGGTCATGTGACCGTGTGCGTCACTGGCACCCGAAGCCCTGATCTTCTTCTTCTTCTTCTTCTTCTTCTTCTTCTTCTTCGTTTTTTTATTGGCGGCTCGCAATCACCAATTGAGCATTACCGCCATCTACTGAAGCAATGGATCAGAGACTTGGATCCCTTCTCCAGACCTATCAGAACTCAAGCTTTCGATGTTGCTGCGTGTTCAGCTCCTCCATCCACAGCCGAAGTCCCTCTCAGCCCAGAGAATAGGAATAATAACAATCATCTATATTCTATAAAGATTATAGAAATTGTATTAACAGACTATCACCTCCTACTGGATTCAAAATCTCTTTTAACATTACTTGCTGCACACCGTTTTTTTGAAGTTCATCGATTAACTTACTTCTCTCCTCCGTATATCCATTACACTGAATAATTACATGTTCTACAGTTTCTCTAACTCCACACCAATCACACAGTCCTGTTGGATGTTTCCCTATTATGTGCAATGTAGGTGTAACACACAACCCTAATATACAAAACTGATAAGAAAAATCTAAGAAGAAACAGTTATTTCAACAAAAAAACACCAAATTTGAAATGTAACGCAGGGAATTCTGGGAATGTCAATTTACGTAAATTTATGTAAATTATACGGTCTTTTTCACTTCCAAAAACAGTATACTACTGTAAAATTAATGTCCAATACAGTTTTTCACCGTATATAGTAGGGGAATTTACCATGAACCATTTAACAGGTTTTTACTGTAGCATTTTTACAGTCTTTTACCGTTAAATTCACGGTCATTTTTTACAGTGTAGCATGCGTGCTACTGTAGAGACAGCTTTGTCGTCTGTATTACTGGCTTTTATATTTTCACTGTAATAAAGCAAATTATTTAAATACGTGAACATATTCATCTAGCAGACGATTTTATATTTAAAAAACATTTAAAAATTAGTTTGTATTAAGTTAACATAATTTTTCTATCTATATTTCTGACATAATTTTTTCTAACTGTTACATAAACAAAGGAGAAACGCCATTAATTCAGTTCAAATGTGTTTGTATAGTGCAATTCACTGTAAATATACTTTTAAACCAAAACTAGGGATGTCAAGCAATCAAACAGTGGTGATTTAATAATAATTGTTGATAATAATAGTCTTTAGGTTTCCGGTCAGTATTTAGAAAGCAGAATGACAAAATCTGCGTCCCAAATGACGCACTACCTATGGGGGTAGAAGTGCAAATAAATAGATTATGATCCACTAATAAATGTAAAGAGATTTACAAAAAAATAAAACATATTGACAAATAAATAGAATGAGATCCACAAACAAATCTCAGAGTTTCACAAACATTAATTAAATTCACAAATAAATAAAATGAGATTTGCAAATAAAAAACATATTCACAAGTATATTTTTATGTCACAAACACAACTTTGCCTGCCATTCATTTGTGGATCGCTCGCTGTGCATTTGTGGATTTTGAGACATTTCTAGCCTCAAGACGCTGACAATCCACAAATGTGTGACTCCACCCACAGTCTACTCGAGCCAATCAGATAACAGCTACACTTCGCTGACCAGTCATAGCACGTTCTCGCTATAACCAATCACGTTATGCTTCACAATCAGGGCGGTCTCTTCCTGAAATAACTTCATTCATAATAAACATTGGCTCAAATAGGAAAAATAAAGGCCATAAAAATTGATATAGTAAAAGATGTTTAAAATGTGTCACACAACAGCCAGCATAACAACGTTTTCAGGTTCCCTTTCATGGGAACGTGGAAGTGCGTCCTCTAGGAGTCGCTATGGGGAAACCTAGAGGACGCAGTTCCACGTTCCCAGTAGACTGTAGACTGTGGGTGGAGTCACACATTTGTGGATTGTCAGCGTCTTGAGGCTAGAAATGTCTCAAAATCCACAAATGCACGCAGCGATCCACAAACGCACAGGACGCGATTCACAAATACATGCCAGGCAAAGTTGTGTTTGTAGAATAAAAAGATATTTGTGAATATGTTTTTAATTTACAAATCTCATTTTATTTATTTGTGAATTTAATTCATGTCTGTGAAACTCGAAAAAGATTTATTTGTGGATCTCATTCTATTTATTTTGTGAATATGTTTGGCTTTTGTTAATCACTTTACATTTATTTGTGGATCATAATCTATTTATTTGGAATAATGCAATAATTCTACCCCCATATGTTCCTTCCTTTTTGGTTTATATGGAACATTACAGTTGATACATTGGGCAGTGGCCTAATGGTTAGAGAGTCGGACTTGTAACCTGAAGGTTGTGGGTTCGAGTCTCAGGTCCGGCAGGGATTGTAGGTGGGGGGAGTGAATAGCCAGTGCTCTCTTTGACCCTCAATACCACGACTGAGGTGAGACCCTTGAGCAAGAACTGAACCCCCGACTGCTCCCCAGGCGCCTGCCCACTGCTCCGGGGTTCACTACTGTGAGTGTGCACTTGGATAAATGCAGAGCACAAATTCTGAGTATGGATCACCTATACTTGGCCACATGTCACTTCACTATTCAATAATTATGCAAAATTTATTGTACTTATGTAATATGCACTTCTGCTGGAAGTGTTCTAGATTTCCTAAATGTGTGTTTGCACTAGTGTTATTTTTTATAAAAAATGTGTTTATGCATATTTTGCAATATATAAAAATATGAAGTGTCCAACTTTCCACACTTCATTTTTTCGGTTATTTAAAGTGCACTTTTTGGAAGTAGTGTGAACGCACTACTCGCACTATTTATACTATATAATGTCATAGAATAGTGCATAAGTACGGGATTTGAGATGTGCCTAAATTCTCTAGAAATTTTCTACTACATGTTTTGAATTCATTCATTATTATTATTTTATTTATAATTTTTTTTCTTGCCTTAAACATATTGAATTATCCAAAGTCAACAGCCCAACTTTGACAGCAAAATAAAGGCAGTCAAAGTAAAATGCATTTTCTAAACTCAGGGGTGTAAAGTATTGGAGTAAATGTAATTAGTTACTGTACTTACTGAGCATCAAAGATATTAGCAACTTTTACTCTTTACTCCACTACATTTGTAATGAGTGTTGCAGTTACACATTACATTTAGCATGGACCTAGCTTTTCTGCAGCACTTTATTCCTGCTACTAAAGCGATAAAGTGATATTGCCAACGACAGGGCACTGAAAGTACCATATCGCATGAGTTTGGCCCTTACTCACCCAAACTTATCCAAACGGCTACTTTACGTGAATGCGAGTTCAACGGCAAGGAGGCAGAAACCAGCTCATCCAGTGCAAGAAGCCTCTGACTTTTTAATTTGACTTAGCTTGATTTGTCTCACTATTCTCCTGTATTCTTGTCCTGTTGTTATTGTAAAACTTCAGTAAACAAATTAAGCAAAAAAAAAAAAAGGAACATTATTTAATTTTTCCGTTATACTGAAGAGACCTTTTTGAAGTATGTGTTGTTTTTTTGCAGTTTTGAAGTGCACAAAGCAAAGTGTGCTTACTATATTTACAATATAGCACTGCCTATACCAGGGGTCCCCGAACCCGGTCCTGGAGGGCCAGTGTCCTGCAGAGTTTAGCTCCTAAGACCTTGATGAGCTGGTTCAGGTGTGTTTAATTAGTGTTGAGCTTAACTCTGCAGGACATTGGCCCTCCAGGACCGGGTTTGGGGACCCCTGGCCTAGAGAATCCACCTTGTTGCTTTTTATAACATTTTCTACATATTCTGAAATATTTAAGACGAATGTGTATTTCAACAAGACAGTTGCGTCGCTCGCCTGTAGAGGGCGCCTGCGCCTGAGGCCAGTTCTGCGCTCTCATTGGCTGACCGTGTAGACGTCGCGTTCGCTCATTGGATGGGATGGCAAGGTCATGACTTCGCCGCGCATGCGCAGAGCCAGTTCCCCGAGCCGTGTCAGTGTGTGGCGAGGAACAGCACATCTGAGCGCTTGCAGAAGATTTTGCATCCGGACCCAGTCTTCAGACATCGGAGCGTGTTTTCTCGTGCGTGCACAGACGGAGCATCATGACGAGCAGCTCGAGGCGGAAAGAGGAGGTGCACGCGGTGAACGGAGGACTGAAGCAGTCCGCATGGAGCAAAGCCATCAGCTGCAAAGCAGTGTGGGACGAGAAGGTCTGCGTTACACTCATATACTCTAGTCAGGTCATGGGTGCGCTATGTGGCTCTAGTATAATGTGTCCTAGCAGATGCAGATGCAGATGCGTGTAACGTTATGTGAATGTTGAGCTGTGATGTTCACTGTTTAGGGCTCAGGGGTCTAGGTGTCGTGTGTAGGGATTTGGGCTCTTTAACGGATTAATGCATGTGCTGCTCCCCATTTATTATCATATATATATATATATATATATATATGTATATATATATATGTATATATGCATATGCATGCATGCATGTTTTTTCATTATGCTCTCTTGTGATTTTTTTTATACGTTAATTTTCATGCATTTCTTACATGCTGTTTTTTCAATGCAGGATGAGTTTTTAGATGTCGTCTACTGGATCCGGCAAATCATCGCTGTGGTGTTGGGCGTAATATGGGGTGTCGCACCTCTGAAAGGGTTTCTGGGAATAGCCATGTGAGTACAGCCAAGGCCTGGAGCTGATCTTCATCAAGTCATCACCACCCGTGATTTGTGATGGTTTGTGTCCTGCAGATTCTGTGTCATCAACGCAGGCGTCCTGTACCTGTACTTCAGTAGTTTCCAGCAGGTGGATGAGGAGGAGTACGGAGGAACATGGGAGCTCACCAAAGAAGGCTTCATGACTTCGTTTGCTTTGTTTCTGGTAGATACATTTTGGCTTTTTCCTGCTATTCTGTGTTTGAACCGTTGCTTTGTAGAAGCACAGAAAATAATAAAGAAGCTTTTCAGTGCTATAGAGCATAAACTCTAGAATGAAACCTGTAGGGCAAATATATTTGGAAACTCTGCGGATTCTGCGTCGAAGTACAAACTATAAGCATCAAAATCTAAATTTCTGTTAATTTAAAAAAAACTAAATATTATACACTAACGTGTACTGTAGACGTTTAGGGTTTGTTGCATTTATTTGATAAAAAATACAGAAAAACAGCAATATTTTGAAATACTATTACAATTTTAAAATAGCTGTTTTCTATGTGAATATATTGTAAAATGTAATTTATTGCTGTGATCAAAGCTGTATTTTCAGCATCATTACTCCAGTCTTCAGTGTCACATGATCTTCAGAAATAATAATATGTGACCCTAGACCACAAAATAAGTCATAAGTGTAAATTATTCAAAATGAATGAATAAGCTTTCCATTGATGTATGGTTTGTTAGAATAGGACAATATTTGGCCGAGATGCAACGATTTGAAAATCTGGAATCTGAGGGTGCAAATAATCAAAATATTGATAAAATCTACTTTTAAAGTTGTCCAAATGAAGTTCTTAGCAATGCATATTACTAATCAAAATGAAGTTTTGATATATTTACGGTAGGAAATTTACTAAATATCTTCATAGAACATGATCTTTACTTAATATCCTAATGATTTTTGGCATAAAAGAAAAATCGATAATTTTGACCCATACAATGACACGTTATACGTCACAGTAGGGCTGCACGATAAATCGAAATGGAATCGAGATTGCAATTCGACAGAAGCTGCGATTGTCATGCGTATGTTTCAGTGAAGCACGGTTCTGTGATCAGCAGTAAATCTCCATCCGAAGGCCAGAGAAACTCCAAATACACCTCGCAGAAGAAACCCAGAAAATGCCTATCGCTGCAGCTGGATAAACAGAAGATTCAGCTGCTTTCATTGATTCAACGTTACTAATAAACACACGACTACGGCAATATATGGTTTATCTGAGTTCTTATTATTATAATTTTCATTAAAATAAAGTATATTTATAATGCAATGCCTTTATCACTGCTTAAATACGATGAAATATGTTGCGTGCCTTATTCTGTGTAAGAAGCCACATCATCTCACAGAAGGATTTATTTCAAACACTCGACTGAATTATGAAGTGAGTTTGGAGTAAAAATATGTTATTAAATGTGGTATTTTCACATGCTTTCAGATGGAGCAGCATTTACTTCACAGAGCCATAGTTCACTGAGAAGCTATGCAAACAGCTGTCATTACCGCCAACGATTTCTTTGATTTCAGAATCGTTCAAAAATTGTTTTGTTTTTTTGGGGCGTAGCTTGTCAGTGAACTACGGCTCTGTGTAGTAAATGCTGCTCCATCTGAAAGCACGTGATGATGATTTCCTGCTGATCACAGAACTGGCTTTACTAACAAAATGCGCATGACAATCACATTCGATTAATCGTGCAGCCCTATTTTGACCCATACAGTGTATTTTTGGCTATTGCTACAATATTACTACTACTAAAACTATTGGGTCACATATGCTGATTTGTTGTTCAAGAAACATCAGTGTTAAAAACAGCTTAATATTTTTGTGGAAATGGTGATGCGTTTGATGAATAGAAAGCACAGCTTGCCCCATGTTTTATGTTCTCGTGTTTGATTCAGCATGTTTTTATCTCTCACGCTGTCTTTCTCCAGTGCTGTGGCGTGTGTGATAGCGCCGTGTGTTTGTGTGCAGGTGGTTTGGATCATCTTCTACACGGCGCTACACTACGACTGAGGACCGCAGGACAGACAGAGACAGACATTTATTTAATGTGATCTGGAAGGGCCGGCTGGAGAGGCGTCTGTATGTGTTACCAGCAGCATGCGTGCGCCTTGAGGAAGAGGTGCATCGTGGGTAAAATGGGTACAGGTTAATAACCTACTCCAACCCAGGACTCGTTGAATTTTGAAGCTGATGTTGTCCAGTGCACTGCCATGGCTAATGGGTTAATAACTGTTGATTCTGTTTGTCCTCTCTGCGTTTTCTTGTTTGATTGCCGCCGAATCAAGCAGGATTTAACTTAATTTCTTAGTTTCTTTCACGATTAGGTTCCAACACAGATTGTCTTACTCCGTTATGACCAGTCAAAATCAAATAGGAGTGTGTAAATTCTGTACAATTCATTTTATTGAATCCGTAATGTATTAAAGTTTTTCTTATGTCTGGTTGATGCAACATACTGCTCAGTATTTTATAGTGTATTCATGGAAATGTTCTGAATGCTTGTCATGAGTAATGAGATGTACCTGAGGCTGTAGAGAGACTATTTTCTGGCTGAAATGTTTTGGAGAATAAAATAAAGCTGGGCTTTGTCTGCCCCACACTTTTCAACAGGCGCCCCGCTCCAGTTCTGATGGACGCTGTGAAGTTGTTTGCTTGACTGTATTGCGAGAAGTGCTGGATTTCTGTTGACCTCTATGATATATAACCCTTAAAGGTGCGGAGACAGCTGAAATGTCACAGGCAGAAAAGGTCAGTTGTCAGAATGAAGTGCCACTTTCAAACCAAGCAGCGCTCTGTTGTTGTTATAAACTATATTATGTTTTGTTGCAGGCATAGTAACAAACTTAAAAGCTGTGACCATAATGCAGATATGGGTAGATCAGGGGTGTCAGAGGACCGGAGCCCTGCAGAGATTTTCTCCAACACACACACCATGTAGTTTACAAATAAGCCTGAAGGACTTGATTAGATGGATCAGGTGTTTAATTAGGGTTGAATCTAAACTCTGCAGGGCTCCGGCGTTTGACACCCCTGGGGCAGATTATTCAAATTAGTTAACCACTGAATGTATTTCAGGGTAATGTATTTGTCTCACCTTTTTTTATTTTTCATTTTTCATTTTTAGGTTGATGGACATCTATGACCGATTGTCATAATGAAATTATGCAGTTTTATTAGATGGCACATCTCGGTGTCAGTGTAATATTAAACGTGTATTACATTGGATTGATTACCCAGCTCTGAGTATATGAGGTTTTAAATGGCTTGTGCCATTGTCTAACAATGCTTCTTTAAAGTCCCCCTGTAGTCAAAAATGGTATTCTTTAAAACGCATCTTTGATCAACAAAAGAAGAAAAAAAAACCAGACTTTATTCAACAATTCGTCGTCTCCATGTCGACCTGGTGCCAGTTTGGAGAATATCAGCTGGACGTAAACAGCATATGCTGTTCTGTGTCAGCCGCACCACACGGATACGCTGTTTTCGTTCAAATCACAGCAACGTAGGAAACAGATCCGGCGTGACGCAGCTGACACAGAACAGCATACGTTTGAAATTAAGTGAGGGTGAGTAATTAATGAAAATGTTTGGGTGAACTAACCCTTTAAGCCATATGTTGGAACCAGAAATAAGCTGGTATGCTCAACGTAAGCAAGGAGACTGATGGCTAACTTCGTGAGGTAACATTATCTGTTTGCGCTGGTTCGTACACGGATAATGACTGATAAAACAGCTTTTACTAGCGGACAACTACAGTGGATGCTGTAACATTCGTTAAAGTTACTTACTTGACGATGTTGTGTCCTCAAAATGCCTTGAAGAATGCCAAGTTTGTGATTCCCAGTCGCGCCGGCGATCAAACGCGTGATGTGCGGATGTCAATGCGGGAGAGGCTACTTTTACACTGCTGCCGCGGGTTATTGTTCAAGTTAGCGGTTCTAAATGTCGTGTCTTGTAAATAAAGACTCTGGACTCGAACTGTATTTACGTGCTTTACTGAAAACTCTCAAGACAACCCTACAGGTCCCGTTATACCACTCGCTGCCCCATCCGTGTCGCTCTCTCCATCTAGTGGCAGCCTGTGGTTACACATCAATAACCCCACATCTCCCCTTTCTAGAGAACAAAGGGTAGACTACCTTTGTCTCAACAGATCTTAGAGGATTATTCTGCCTCTTTTGCTGGAAGATCTGCTCCTATCTAACTCCTTGAACAAACAGGTAGTTTCAACATTGGTGCTTGCCTCTTGAACATTTGTCCACAATTATTTACATTAAGTGGTGGGAACCTGTACCCACACCACCCACAGTTCACAGGTTCAGTCTTACTGGTTTCACTATTCGCCTCCCATACTTGGTTCTAGGAGTGGATCTCAAATCTGGAACGTCCTGCTTCTCTGACTCCTGAGTGGTAGGGAGTGACTCAGAAGTTGCAACAGAAAGCTGATCAGGTGTTCCGCTGCTGTCCTCCTTGGCTTCTGCTTGCATTTGTACCAGATGGTGACGGTTATGTCTCACAGTCCCTTGCTGAGTGTTCACAAGGTAAGACCTCGGAGCAGAGTGACTAGCAACAATTGTTCCTGATTCTTTAGACATTCTATCCAGACATGATCTCCTGGCTGCAGTATGCTGAGTTTTCTGGCTCTGTGACTCCTATTGAAACGCTCTGCATCTGCATCCCTCCTTTCTTTTTATTTTAAAGAAACAGCCACAGTATCAGGGAGTACTGGATTTAGTAACGATGGCAGTGTAGGCACAGTCGTTCGGAGCCTCCTACCCATAAGAAGTTGAGCCGGACTGTACCCATTTTGCAAGGGAGTCGCTCTATAAGCTAAAAGAGCAAGGTATGGATCATTGGCTTTCTTGAGAAGAGCCTTCACCATCTTGACTACCCGTTCGGCCTCACCGTTGCTCTGGGGAAATCTTGGGCTACTAGTTACATGAACAAATCCATATGAAGCTGCAAAGGATGCAAATGAGTGCCCAGAGAATTGTGGCCCATTGTCAGTAACCAGTGTCTCTGGAACTCCATGACGCGCGAATATGGACTTCATGTGAACAATGATGTCAGTAGACCTGGTAGGTGTTAACTGAGCTATCTCCACATACCTGGAGTAGTAGTCTACCACAAGCGGGTACGTCTTGTTTCCCAACATGAACAAATCTGCCCCTAGCCTTTGCCATGGCCTGTCAGGGAACTGAGTGGGCATAAGGGGTTCTTTTGGGTTCTGTCTCTCTTTAATGCATGTCCTGCAGTTGAGGACTATTTCCTTCAGCTGATGACTTAACCCTGGCCACCACACTGACTGACTTGCCCACTCTCTGCATTTCACAAGTCCCAAGTGTCCCTCATGCAATTTGTTTAGAACACTGCTTCTCATGGCGGCTGGAATAACCAGCCTCGTGCCTCTAAGCAACAGTCCATCTTGCACAGTTAAGACAGCACGTTCTGCCCAATATCGTTTCATTATTGGGTCACTCTTGCTGCGCTCTGTCCACCCTTCAACGCACAGTTGCATCACACCGGAACAGACATTGTCACTCCTTAATTCCTTTCTCAACTGTCCCAGATACGTTGTACTTGCTGGTAAATTTTCCAATAGTGAGTCTACATGTACAATAGTGAGTCTTCGTATCCTCCCAGAGTTCTCTGTCTTCTTGTGACTCACTCTGTTTTACAGGAGCGCGTGATAGAGTGTCAGCTACCCACAAGCTCTTTCCTGGCACATGAACGATGGAGTAGGAGTACCGCATCAATCGCATTTTAAACCTCTGGATACGAGGGGAAAGAGCATCCAGAGCTTGAGCTCCTAGGAGACTCAGTAATGGCTTGTGTTCGGTCTCCATTTCAAAATGCTTGCCAATGAGGAAGTCTCTGAATCTTTCGCACGCCCATGTGAGACCCAAAGCCTCTTTTTCCACTTGTGCATACCTTTGCTCAGTGTGAGTGAGCGATCTCGATGCATAAGCTATCGGTTTCCATGCTTCCTGCCATCTCTGCATAAGGACGGCCCCTAGTCCATAGGACGAAGCATCCGCTGACACTTTGCAATCTCGGTTTGTATCGTAAATTGCTAGAACAGGTGGAGATGACAATGCATCTTTCAGAGTTTGAAAAGCTTTGGCCTGTTCTGTGCTCCAGATCCAACAGTTCTTTTTTGACAGCAGGTCGCGAAGAGCTTTATCTTTGTCTGCCAGTTGGGGAATGAACCTCCCTAGATGATTTACCATTCCCAGGAAACTTCTCAATTCACTCACATTGGAGGGCTCAGTCATGTTTCTGATAGCTGCAGTCTTCATTGGGTCAGGACTAATTCCTTCGGCAGAAATTAAGTGTCCTAAGAAATGCACTTTCCTCTTCGACAGCTCGCACATCTCAACATTGAGAGTGATGCCTGCCTTTTGCATTTTCTCCAGCACCGCATGCAGTCTCGAGTCATGCTCCTCCTCTGTTCTCCCCCACACCAGCACATCATCGATATGACACACTGTGCCTTCCAGCCCATCTGTGACTTCTGTAGCCATTCTATTCTGGAAGTGTTCGGTGCAGAAATAATTCCAAAGGGAAGCTGTCTGAAGAAATAGCGATCAAACGGGGTTATGAATGTTGTGTACTGTGCAGACTCCTCTGACAACGGTATCTGCCAGAATCCCATATTGGCATCTAGCTTACTGAAAATTTGGGCACCAGCCAACATTCCAAGTGTCTATTCGACTGATGGCAGAATGTATTTTTCTCGGCGAACAGACTCATTCAACTTGGAGAGGTCTACACATATTCGAACAGCACCCAACTTCTTCGGGACCACAACCGTCCCGGCACACCAGTCTGTTGGTTCCTCCACTCTACTAATTACTCCCAATGTCTCCATACGATGCATTCTTTAAAAATCTCTTTGAACATTTCTGCTGGAATGACGGTGACATCAGCCCCAGTATCGATCTTAAATGACACTCGTTTGTGACCAATGTCTGTCTACCATCCATGGTTCGCCAGGACCTGCAACGCTGCCCAGGAATATGGGGTCACCCTCACACACTTCACGCACAGCTTTTAATGATGCACACACTCGCTTATAATGGCCTTTTTTCCCGCAGGCGTGACATTTTACATCATTTGCTGGACAATCTCGCTTTGCATGAGCTGAGGAGCTACCACACTTATGGCACTGGTTGCTATTCATTTTGTCGGAGAGTGATGATTGAGGCTTTAGTTTAGGGTTGTTCCCTTTTTGGGGTCTGCCTACACCACGCTTTCCCTTAAACACTCTATCCACAGAGCTAGCGTCAGCAGCCACAGTGTCTGATGCACTTCTCAGTGCTGCTTGCTGTCGTTTCACCTCCTCACTTTGCCTTGCCATTGCAATTGCTTTATCCAGCGTCAGCTCATAATCCAGGTGCATACGTTCAGAAA